TAACACAGAAAAGTATGCATAGGTTTCAAATTTTACTTTATACCAAAATAAAATTTTCTTTAATTTCACTTTTTAAGTATTTTCAGATAATCAACATCTTTCCAGCTTAAAAGTGTTGACTCTAGACTTTGTTACAATCCTAAACTAAACGCTCTTTAAAAATGGTGACACCTCCATTTCTAACCTAGCTTCCTGTTGATGAATTCTGGGAGGCAAAAGAGAATATTCAAGCACTTGGGGCCCTGTCACAAACACAGAATTCTGAATTCTTGGCTTCAGCCTGGTCCAAATGGTTGCTTCTGGCATTGGGCAGTGAATCTCTGTGTCCTACCTCTTTTGCCTTTCAAACAGATCAAAGTAAATGAATAATTTAAAAATGCTTCTTTTTATTTCAGCCATAAATATGGATTAAAAAATAATAATAATAATACTTCCAGGATTCAAAAGTTTGCTAATAATGAGCCAGTATGTGGACATCAATGTGAATGTAACCTTGTAATACTACGTGTTTTTCTTTAAAAGCACCACCTGAACTGTAGGATCAATGATAACAACCACCAGGTAAGGATTCTTTGCACTGCCCTCATCAGCTCTTGAGAACTTCAGTGTTTTGTGGGTGCAAGGAAGTGTGGGATAGAAATCTGGAGGGAAAAGAAGAAATTCACACATTCTTTTTCATCTCTTTGAACACTCTTCAAAAGCAAATCCAATATACAGGATGCAGTGGATTGCGGATGGACTTATAATAAAAGGGCTGTGTACTTTTATTTATTGTGCTGACAGATCATAACGCAGCTGCCACTCACATAAGGTAACCATCGATGGGCAGTTCTATGCATCCGAGCTAGACATAAGTTATGAACTAAGCTCCTCAGGGGCGAAACAGACATTGAAAAAAATGGTGCCAATGTGAGAGTAATGCCGAGATCGTATCCCCTTTCTCATCTATCACACATGGGTCACACTGCTAAAGGATAAACTCCTGTGTGACCCCTTCAGTAATCACCACCACACCATTAAATGAAAGTGACGCATCGGCATTATACTGTGATGAGAGTATGAAATGTTTTAAACACCTGCTCATATGAGATTTAGTGAATTAAAGTGAGATCAACTATATTTCATATTATGAAGCATGTAGAATAACTGGATTGGAACAAGTTGTTATATACAAAATGTACATATTTCTTAAGATTATGAAAGTGTCCCTCGCAAATTAAAAAAAAAAATTGTTAGGCGGTTTACTTTCTGTTTGTTAATTAACATAAAGAAATGATCTGGCAATAGATATTTGCCCATCAAAATTAGCAAGTTTTAAACTCACTAGAAAAAGAGACAGAGACCATAAGAAGATTTGTATACACGTCTGACAAAAGATCTAAAACAGAAAAAAGAATTTAACATTTTGTTCTATCAGAATATTTTGAAAATAATATGTACAAGCTAAAATGAGTATCATAAAAAAGAATTTGAAAGTTGCCAAATATATTTCTTCAGGGAATTTGAAGAGACAAGTATTTTGAGGGTAAAAGATTTTGAATGAAAGGAGGACTGCTGTTTTGGAGACATTTAATTCAGATAAGAAAAGCAGGGAAAGTTTTGAAATATCAGATCTTCTATTACAAGTGGAATATTCTAGGAGAATAAAAGTTTTTTAAAAAAGTCCTACCCTATCCAATCTTTCTGGAAGAAATTCCAGCAGCAGCCTGCAAGGCAAATGAAGTGTGGAAAACCAATTCACAAATTACAGGCCTGGGAATGAATAACACTCCTTTAGAAAATGAAAGTCGGTGAAGATTGGAAACATTTCACCTGTTTTCATTTAAATTTTCAATCTCTTCCTACTGGTTTAGGAAACAGGATACGGTATAATGGGCCAGTCGGGAGTAGGAACTCTAAATATTTTGATATGGCCACACTGACATGCTCAAAGTAATTTCCTCTGAGTGAAAGAAAATGAGACATTTCAATAATCTCCCATTTAACATATGGTTTATAGGATTTAAGACAATTTTTCAATCATGCTTTCCCCTTTCTTAGCTAGGATTCTTTTCAATTAATGAAGAAAAATGATGAAAAGCCTTACACAAATTTTTAAACAGTAAAATGACTTGAAATATTTTTAGATGGACTTTTGCTTTCAAGAAAATGTTTATGTATGTATTTCAGAGAGATCAGCTTTTATTGCAATATTGCGTACCTGAAAAGGGACATATTTGTTACATTTTTACTTCTGACTTAATCGGTGTCATAGTAAACACTATTCTGAAATGGCCAAGGTAAATCCTTCATGTACATTCTAGCATCTTACAACCAGATCGAGACAAGTCAGTTAGCTCCAGTAAGTGAATACAATAGAAGAACAGAGCCAGACTGCTTTAAACTTAATTGTAAAACAGGTATTATAAAGGTATATCTGATTTCCAAGAAGGAACAATTAGATATCTGTCACCTATTCTTTAAAATTATTTCACGTAGCCATTTGATTCAAATTTTAAACGCTTCAAACCTGAGAAATGTTGATCTCTTACTCCTATTGTTACTAACACTATTTGAACAATGTTCCTTTGGAATGTAAAACATTAACAGAGCACATCTTCATGAGACTGTAAAGTATTTCAATATTTCAACAAGAGTAGTAAATACCACAAAGAGCATCCACGAGGGCTCTTGTGATCTCAATTAGTTTTCACCTCAAACTGAGGACACAAAAAAGTTTCCATTCTGTTAGTACTTGTTGAAATCTTCATTTAGTGAAGTGTTAAGCTTGTGATTGTAAAGGAGAGTTAAAATAAGTAGTTGCATGGGAGTGAAGGAAGGGGTCAGGATGGGAAGTGTCATTACGCTCCTAAAACTGTAAATGTGAAATATATGAAATTGGTTGCCTTTATATAAATAAATATTTTTACAAATAACCAAGGAAAATAAACAAATATTAACTCTTATGAGTCCACTGGAATCATTATAAGAAAATCGTCAAAACAGATGTGAAAATTTTGTCAAGGTAAAAGTGTAGACTCGATGGGCAGTTTAAGGAGGAAAACTTATTTCATGAATATAGGAGAAAAGTAAATTGAACCTTAGTTTCCAAAAGTATACTTCAGACTCAAAGATTTCGCCTCTGAATTATTCCCTCTTACTGCTTCCCTCCTTTCTTTTATCCTTTTTTAAAATTTATTCTCAACTTTTTAATCTTGTTCTATATGACACTAAACAAATGCCCAAATGTCAAAGTGTCACTGTTTCAAAAATCATTTCACTCAGGTACTTGGTTTCTTTCTAGAGTTTAGTTGCTCTGTATTTGGTAAAGTTTACTAAAGTAATATATTATTTCTCTGATCATTTAAAAAAGACTTATAGACAGCACCATATGAATGAATAAAATATGATTCACGTCAGTGACATAGATGCTTCTTATAAAATATTTTTAAAAGAAGCCAGAATCATAGAGAACATCCTTTATGAGTGAATTTAGATGTGATGAAAAAAAAATAGTAGCTACACTGGCGATAGAGTGCAAGGGGACTTCAGGATTTTTTTTTCTTTTACTATGTCATTCTGCTCCTTCATCTGGCTGATGTTTACAAAAATGTTCATTTTACAAATCTGCTGAGCATTACACTTGAATTTTACATTTTTTAGAGTGCTTACATGGTAATCCAATGAAAAAATGCATTAAGGGCAATATTTTGATCCAAATTTGCATTTTGCTAATTGTAGCTTATCAATTTCTTTTTCCAAAAATATGTATTTCAGTTTTTCATGATAAAGGTATTTGTACTTTTACTTCAGACTGTAAAGGCAATAACTTCCTGTTTAGGAAAGGTTACGTCTATGAGACATGTTAAAATCATGTTTATGGAGCCATAATTTATATGTATTATAATTCTCAATTCATATATTCTATGCACAATAAAATGAAAAAATATAATTGTTGACCAACACATACATTGGAACAACCACCATCACAATCAAAATAAAGAATAGCTTCCTCATACCCTCCGAACTTGCTCCTGTTCTGCAGTTAGCCTCATTCCCTGACCACCTCAACCCTGGAAAAACTGATCCATTCTCTCTAGCTCGAGTTTTGCTTTTTCTAGAAAACCACAATAACAGAATTATGTAAGTAGAATCATATAGGATGTAGTCTTTGCCGTCTGGCTTCTTTCATTCAACGTAACACACATCAGATTCATCCATGTTGCTTGGGTCAACAATCTATTTCTTTTTGTTGCTCGGCTTGAACAACACGTGGGTATAGTACAACTACAGAGCCTTTAAGAAGTTTCCTTTTGAGGTTGTTATGAATAAAGTCACTATAAACATTTATGGATGGATTTCTTTGTGAACATGAGTAATACAATTTATTTTTTGATTCCAAGTTACACTTCTACTTATATATTGCCTTCATTGATGGTAATTTTTATATCTAGAGATATATCACTCAATTCAAAATAACGCAGAATCTGAAATTGAAATCAAATCAAATGATAAACATAAGCATAGATCAATACTTGTGAATCCCTTCTTTCAAAATATTTTTCAGCAATCAATAGAATTAAGAATGAAAATTTCCTGCTAAACATCTGAATTAGTAGTACTTTAAACAGGATAAAATAAGAAATCAATGACATTTCAAATCAGAATTCTGAAATCAGGAGTGAAGGGAAAAGATAAGAAAGGTAGCTTGATTTTTGCATTTTTTATAATACTCTCTCATAAATGTAATTCAACTGGTTAGTGATTCTTCTTAATGGTAATTGGGAAAGGATTTGAATGACAAAATGGAAACATGGTAGATGTTACCTAGCATGTTGTGGTAAAGTGGAATGGCCCGTCCATGGGTAGTAAATGCATTCATGAATAGTGGGACCGTTACACCTGCAGGCAATTACAGAACAGAAAACATCATTCTCCATTCACAGTGACATGCATCCATGCACCAGTGCTCACACATGGAGCTTTGCAGGAAGAACATGGGAAGCAAGCACACCAAGTACCTATCCATGAGGCCGATGCAGTCTTCAATACTTGAGCCTATGCACCTGCAGAAGACGCAAATGTTAAAAAACAAAGCAAGAAATTTAAAAAGCACAAGTAAATAAAAACACATCACATCTAAAAGAATATGTACAATAACTGTCAAGGTAGTGGATAAGCTGAAATTATTAGACAATGTCAGAGACACTATGAATTCCAAATCAGCAAAAGTATTATTCATTGGTTGCCTGTAGAAATGATTTGCAAAGACAAATGTCCACAGAGAAGGAAATTTCAACCTGGTTATGCACATAACCTCCAATTTCACACAAATAACTTCTAGAATTTCTAATTTTTTCCCACCACTTATAATTATATGTCTTGAGGAATAACTTTATATCTCAGCGGTTATAATTTTCATGTATATAGTTCCTAGTAAGACTTTAAGTAAAATTTAGTATTGCAAAAAAGCAGCATGAGTAATTCAACATAGTATGCTCATCTAATGTTTAACATCTATTAAAGATTGGATATGGCAGAAAATGAGTTAACAGGCTCTACTGCTCTTCTCACAGATGCTTAACATAATCAAATTGTTCTGGTCCTTGTTACATACATACATATGTATCAGAAAAAAATAAATTTATTCAAAAAGCAAATTAACAAGTTAGCCATCCGGTAGTTTATTTTGATACTCTCTTAAAACATCAGAGTAATAACAATCAAAATAGATTTTAAGCTGCAATAAAAATAGCCTCAAACAATAATAAGTAAATTTTATATAACTAAATGAGAACCTCCAGAACTAACTCCATGACCTGTTAGATATTTATAATGCTACAGAAATATAAAGATTTCTTCTACAGCTATGGTTTATAGAACTGCCTCATGTGATTAGTAATAAAAGGCTTATATTTTTCTATATGCTTAACTTTCAAAATTGAAAACGAAAATGAAGCTGAAGTCAATATGATTATATAATGGGCCCAGCACAATAGATCTATTGGCTAATCCTCCATCTGCAAGCTCTGCATTCCATTTGAGTGTTAGTTCGTGATCCAGGTGCTCCACTTGTCATCTAGCTCATTGCCTGTGGCCTGAGAAAGCAGTAGAGGACGGCACAAAGCCTTGGAACCCCATGCCCACATGGGAGACACAGGAGAAGCTCTTGGCTCCTGGCTTTGATCAGCTCTAGCTCTTATGGCCATTTGAGGAGAGAACCAGTGGACAGAAGAGCTCTCTCTCTATTCTTTCTGCAAATATGCCATTCCAAGAAAAATAAACAAATTTGCAAAAAAAAAAGTTATCACTGATAAGAATACTAGACAATCCAGCATATTTTAGGCATTTGTTTTTCTTTTTAATATTTTAATGTAATTTTAATTAATTAATCAATTCTTTCATTAAACGGAACAGTCAGATATACAGAGAGGAAGATCTTCCATTAGCTGGTTCATTGCCTAAGTGGACACAATGGCCAGAGCCATTGCCAGGAGTCAGAAGCTTCTTCCAGGTCTCCCACACAGGTGCAAGTTTCCAAGGCTTTGAGCCATCCTCCACCGCTTTCCCAGGCCACAAGCAGGGAGGTGGATGGGAAGTGGGTCCGCAGGGACATGAACCGGCATCCATACAGGATCTCGGTATGTGCAAGGTGAAGACTTTAGCTGCTAGGCTACCGTGTTTGGCCCTGTAATTTTTAATTTTTACCTGATTCAACACAGCTTATTGATACAGTTCTAAGATTGTCACAAAAATTTCTTCTTCCTTATCTCCTTCCCATTGCATCTCCCACTTTCTTTTCCTTTACTTTTTTTTCTTCAGTATCTGAGAAAAATCTTCTAAATTTGCATAGAGTAAAAAGGTTTAATGGTCCATTAAATAAGAAGTTAAGCAAGTAAACACTGGACAGATCTTAGTTTACTGGAAATATAGACAAAGGATGCAAACAATTATTGAATGAAAAAAGGGTGCCTGTTAATGTAACTGATCAAATAGGAAATAGATGATATACCAATATAGCATTAAATCAGTGTAACACACCATTTTAAGAGATTCAACTTTAAAATGGAAAACTGACTCCTACAAAAGCTTTCAAATGGTCTTAGTTGGTTTTCTTTTTATTCTATTCCGAAGCATTTAGCCTTTCTGAGTTCCATTTACATTTTCTTTGAAAATGTGTTTTGCTGAAGTATTGCCATTTTGTAAAATTAACAGTCTACAATTTATTTCTAAGTGAAAAGCTGTACGGTTAGTTTGCAATCTTCATAATAGCTCTTGAAAGACAAAAATATTTGAAAGTGAAATTGAACTTCCGACAACTTGTTAGTAATGAAAGTTCTTCATTCATTCAAGGAAACCTATATGAACATAACTACAAGTGATCCTATTGTTTTAGGAGCTATCAAAGGAGAAAAAATTTAGAATTAGACACTGCTTATTCTCAATGAGCTCACAATTTAATAAAGTAACCAGCTGTAGGAACAGATGTGTATTACGTAGTGTGAAAAAATGTAATAAGAGACATGAACAAGTGGCTTAAAGAAGAGTGAAGGAGGGACATCTTGTTGAAGCCCAGAAGGTCATGGAAACACTCTTGGAGCAGAAAATTGCATGTTGGGGATGTGAGAGCTAGGATTAGGGTGATAGGAATTGAGAAAGGGTTAAAAAATGCATTGCTATATACATGATCAGTTGTAAACAACTTTGAAGAGTTAGAGAGCCAGATACAGGGCAGCACACAGTGGAAAAAAGAATGAGCTTGAGTGTCAGACAGGAGTCAGATTTTGATGGCTACTTAATTATGAACTAAATGGAACACTACTGCAGGTGGCTAAGGGAGTAGTGAACTTGAGAGATTGGCATTTTAAGCAGATCGCTTTGCTCTGTGGATGCTAGGCAGCTGGAAGCCAGGTGGACTTCTCTAGCATTGGAATTGCTGTATCCTCTGTGTAGGAGACGATGGAGCAAAATCAGTGAAACGGTAACTGAGAGGCAGAATGGGCAGGTGCCACAGACTATTGAGAAGTATGTAAACAGAAAATCTGATTGTGGTTTAATGATGGAAATGAAAAAGCTCAAAGGGTTAAGAATGACATATTTCCAGCTCTGAGAATCGTGGAGTTATCAATGACAGAATCCAAGATGAACCAAATAGCAAGGGCTAAGGCCACAAAAAACTTGCTGAGCAGATGGTGGAGAGCATTAGAGACTTTTCCCTATTTTTCAAATCAGGATGAAAGAAAAATCGCAAGAATGAGGGTATGAATGAAATGGCATCAACCCTTCTAAATGCAGGAAATTGTGCATTTAACAAAGTATACGTTATATTCTTACCCTTTGCCTTAAAAATTAGCATATGTACTTTACATAGATTCAGCAAGACTATCGAATATGAGAAATAACAAACCTTTAAATGATCAGAATTGCACAAAGCGGAAAAAATGAAACCTAAATTGACATCAAATTCAAATAGGGTCAGGCAATTATTTTAGCAGTTAAAACACCTGTTGGGAGGTCCCTTTTCTTTTTAGGCATGTTTGGCTCAGAGTCCTGGATCCATTTTCTATGTCACTGTGCCTGGATTTGGGACTTGGGTCTGTCTCCTAAATCCAGCTCGGTACTGAAGCACACACTGGGCAGGGGTGGGGTACAGTGGTGATGGGTTCAGTGGGTAGGACCTTGTCTCCCAACAAGGAGAAATGAATTGAGTTCTTGGTTCCCAGCTTTGGCTCTGGCCCTGCATTGGGACTTGCAGGCACTGGGGAATGTTACAGCAGAAGGAAGCACTCGCTCTATCTCTTTCTGCTCCCAAAGAAATACATTTTTTAATAGTTGTGTATTCTCCTAAACACTCCATTCCATTTCTCTAAAAATAAAGAGGTTGGACTTGAGGCATAGTGGTAACGTCACCAACCAGGCATCGGCTTCCCGTACGGGCACCAGTTCGTGTCCCAGCAATTTTACTCCTGGCTCAGCTCCCTGTTATTAGCCTGGGAGAAGCAGCAGCAAATGGCCCAAGTGTTTGGACCTTTGTCACTCACATGGTAAACCTTGATGAAGTTTCTGGTTACTAGCTTCTGCCTTTCACCCTGACCCACCACAGCTGTTGAGACTATCTGGGGAATCAAAGAATGGGAGATCAGGCTGTCTTCTTCACTTCCCCATAACTCTGATTTCTCAAAATGATCAAATCTTTAAAAATAAATAAAAATTTAAAAATAAATGAACATGAACCCAAGTGATGCTGTGGCTGTCATTTTGTTTGCTAATCAATTTAGTTTATAGCTCCTATTTTAAAATGCTGTTACTAATTCCAAACAGGAACACCCTTCCTCACGTTTACGTTCTTGTCCATTGCTGTAAAGCACAGCACAGAAGGGTCTGATCTCTAATAGAGGTGTAAATTGAAGCACATAAATTCACTCGACTGTGAGTTCATGAAGGTCAACAACGGTGCCTTACTCAATTCTGAACTTGCCTGTCACTGCCTCAGACACAAAGCACACATCCAACACAGCAATGCTGAGAATGAACAAGATGAGGGAAGCCTGCTAAAATAAGCTTTCTGGTCAAGAAAAATGAAACATTTCCATTTTTCCTCCTCTAGTGATATTAGTGAGAATGTCTTGATGGAGGCTAAATGGAAAGCCTATTTTAAAAGTAGCTAAATAACATATTAGGACCAATATATTTAATGTACATTTGGAGTCATAAAATGCTTTTACGGTATTACAAAGATAATTCTATTTTCAAAAAAAATCATTAAATGGTATTCAAAGTAAGAATTTTACCTCTGGAAATGTAATTTGAGAGACTATTTCCATTAACTTAATTCTTGAATTATCTGACATAATATTGGCATATGTAAAAAGAAAGCTATTTTCCAAAGTGAAGTTAGCGTGGTGAGTTCACACTTCCTGAGAGGTCAGTTATTACATATGTTCAGAAATAAAAATAGCCACTCATTTCATTATTCCCACTGCCCAATGATCCTTCTAAGGAAAAGAACACACTTACGCATCCCCTATCTGAAAAACAGGGACACACTGCACGGACACACTGTTGCTTCAGTGCAGGATTTCAAAGCACAAAGACCGTGTGCCAAGGAAATCCATGTGGGCATTAGGGAGCTCACAGCTTCCTCAGAAGAAATCCCTTTACTCTTTTGGGGCTGAAACTACAGCATGTTCATGAAATGACTGAGGAGGGAGAATAAGGGAGCTGGTGGGAGAAAGATGGCAGGAAGTCAAGTGAAAATAAAAATCCCTCAAACTCAGTAGACGATATCTTTTTAGGATGTCAAATTCTAAATTCTATTCAAATTCTATCTCATCACACTGTAGTCTTTAGTTATTAATGACATCTTGCTATTTTAATTTTAATTAAGAAATATTGTAGGTTCTAAATGACTTGGTGAAATTTGTTTCCTGTAAGTCCTTCATCTTCCCTTTTGGTGCAGATCCGAATTTTGCTGCCACAGCAAATTGCTCTCTTTTCACTGTCCCCTTCGTCTCCTTCTGCCTGCTGTATATGTTTTCTTTTCTTATATAATCATGATTTAAAGGGGCTGAGAGGAAGACACCAGCCACACATCTTGAGTATGGCTCTGTCATCTCGCTTTCATTTCCCTAATGGCTTCATTGTAATTAGATTTGCAAAAACAGCAAAAGGTCTCATTTTGAATGGCAACAGCTGTTGACATCAACATTATATTGAATAATTTACTGGTTTAATTTTAGCTGCAAAACAATAAAACCCTCTTGTGGATGATTTTAGCATGCAAAGTTTTCTCTTTTCTGCTGCTGACTCTTCTGCTCCAACTGTACCAGTTGTTTTTTTTTGTGAAATATTCTCAAGTGTGCCTAAAACGCACGCGGGGAGCAGCTTATTACTTCCAGTTTCCTCGAAGCAAAGTGCTTATTATGTGAGTATTTCAGCTTTCTCCACCTAGGCACTTCTCTGTGAACCAAAGAGACACAGTGACCTCTTCCATGTTGAATCTGAATTTGAACGGCAGATACTACTCTATCTTCTGAGAACTTGGCACTTCACAGGGTGATAAGCTGGTTCCTTGGCCTGCTGGAAATCTTAGCAGCATCTAAAAATTGATGTTTTCTTGGTGAAAAATGCTGCTGCTTTCTTTATGTCTTCAATGTCCCTTAACAACTGACTCTTAATCTGGCAGAAAATCTCTTCACGGAATCTCATGCTTCTGCCAGATAAAGTATGCATGAATATTCTCTACAAAAGTGGATGTTTCTGCTTGTATGTGCATATGCCTGTGGACACTCAAAATGGAGAAAGTGTTTTGTGGACAGGAGAAACATAAAGCACAGAAATTGCTCCTAATTCTAAAATTATTCACTTCGTGGAAGAAACAAAAATGCTTACAAAAAGTGGTTGGCTGTCTTTTCAAGAAATAGGGAATGGCATGTGTTCAAATGGCATGTGTCTTCCACAGCTTAGTGCTTTTCTCCTTTCTTTCAAATAGATTATTTCTTTGAAAGGCAGAGTTGGAGTTAAGAGAGAGGAGGAAGGGAGAGAGAGAAAATCCTCCCTCGGCTGATTCACTCTTCCAATGTCTGCAGAAGCCATATCAGGTTTCTTAAGAAAGGAGCCAGAAATTTCATCTAGGTTTTCCACATGGGTGGGAGGAGCTTTGGCAACTGTATTACCTGATGCCTTCCAGGCACATCTGTAGGAAGCTGTAGGAGAGTATGGAATGTTCTGGATTTGAACCAGCAATTTGATGTGGGATGCAGGTGTCTTAAGGGGCTGTTTAATTCACTTCAAACAATGTCTGTCAATTTCTATAGTGTGTGTTTCTTATTAAATTGCTATTACTACCAAAAACAATCTTCACTGTATGATACATTCCCAGAAAACAGAAAAATGTACACCGACGCTTTTTTCAAACAATGAAATAAATCCTAGGTTGTAGAAGAAGTTCAAATCAGGTAATCTGTTATCTTTTAATCTATCCATCATGAAATTTTCCTTTAGCTCTGCCATTACTGCTTTTGCTTGTATTTTGTTGCAGAAGTGATCAATGTAGCTTATCAAAAAGCGATGTCTTCTCTTTAAGCTAAGTGTGACAACAAAAAAATAAAAGCACACCTCTGTGAAATATTTTCACAATTTCCATATTTGCTGTCATATTTACAAGAATTTTTTCAATGTACCGAAAGCATTTTTTTCACACCAGTTTCATGGAGGTGTCAATAAAACTGTTATAGGGAATGTCAAGAAGAAATATTTCAGATGATACAATTTTTTCTTCAAGAAACTAGTCCTAAATGTAGTTTGTGGAGGGGACAGGCCAGCTTCAGGCCTTGGCTCACAAGGATGCTTACCCTTGGGTGCAGTTGGGGTGGCAGGGGTGGCACTCCCGATCCTGATCAGCATACTTGAAAATGAAACTGTTTGTCCCTTGTAAGCCATCTGGACATTTTTCCACACAGTTCGGGCCATCCTTAAAATGAGAGCATTTTGTACAGTTATCAGGTCCCTGAAAAGTAAAAAAGAAAAAAAGGGGGGAAATAAAGGAAGAAAAGTAAGTGGGTGCTATTTGATCTGGAATGCATGCATGTGGTTTCCTGGCTTGGACTTTGTGAATTACAACGGGACATTCTTCTAGGGAAATATGCAGCCATTTCAGCGCTGTCAAAGTGGCTGAGGTCACTGTCATATAAACACCCTGAAGAGTTCAAGTTCAGTTTTGGTACTCTATGTACGTCAAAAACAATTTAGCAGTACCTATGCTAAATGTACATATTTGTTTTCTTAAAAGATGCCATATTCTAAAACCTGTAGCTATTTTACCTTTTACGTAGCTAAGTTAATTTGATGTCTTCTTGAATGTTACATGACTTTGAGATTGCTATTCTCTTCAGCCACTCCTTCTGAAACTTCTCCCTCTGACCCATTTCTCCCCAATATCCATACCCGCACAAGTGTCATAGTTCACATGGAAACAACTCAGACAGATGTTTACATCAGGTTTATCAACAAGGCCACTTTGTGAATCACAGCACAGAACACTGTACAACACTGGGCATAACCATTCATTTGCTAAATAAGAAGGAATTGATCGCCAATCAATACAGGAAATAGAGTCTATTAGCTAGATTGGCTTAGATTCTTCCAAAAACATTAAAGACACAGCCAGGCACTGTAATCTGACAGTACAAGGAACCAAGACATGAAGAAATGTACTATTTTAAGCTATTTTTAAATCAAAATAAAATGTACTGTCTTAAAAATAGTTAAAATCTGGAGATTGCTGAAGTACCTGTTTATTTCACTACTTTAATATGAGGTTTAAGGTTCAAACAAGCAAAAATACGCTGTGAAAATTAATCTCCATTCTAGCTGAAGCCTTTTCTATTGGTAACCTCTCATTTCCTCCCCCAAAAAGAATACTTCGCATGTTTCCAATTGTAGCACCTGTTCATGGGTACTTAGGCACGTTAATACTATTATACAGAATCATTTACTGTGCAAGTATTCTCAATGGCATGACGTATTGTACAAGACAAGAGACATGCTTTTTCTGAACACAGAATAAGACTTGTTATTAGCAAATTAGGCAGTTATAGACTGAATTGGGAATTAGGAATGATTGTTCTATTACATTTTTATAATGTAAGATAAGGTCCAGGTGAAATCAGAAGATGTTAAAAAAATCAAGAAACAAAGACTGAGTTTATATTTAATCTTCCAGCATAATTAATTTTGTTCTTTGTTGTTCAAGCATTTCAACGATTTGACTGTATTATCATTTGAAATGTAATATCCTAAGCTGACATTACTAAAAAGTCTTGAAAATATCAAAAGGAATGAAATATATGGATTCCCACTTCATTTCCATAATAAAGAAACTTACAGAAATGTATGTGCATAATGCCCCCTCTTTTGTCATTGTATTCCCAAGTCTCTTAGGAGCCTAAGTGCAGTGAATGAGCAGATCACAGTAATGGAAAATGGATATGAGATATTCTTCTTTATCCTTGAACCTAAGCCATCTTTACACTCAATAATCTATCCTGGCAAATAAAAGATAATCTTAATCCTGGTAGACATGTTAGGTTTTTACTTTGTGACAATAGATTTATTTTTAAGCTATTATAAGAGACACAGCTGCAATTCAGCAGTACCCATATTATTCCACATATATGTGAAGACGATAATTTCCCTCACATGAGAAGAAAGGTATGGCTTGTCTTAGCCAGTAAAATGTAAGCGTGACACGTGAGAAGGCCAGTGCTAAACTCTCGTCTTCTTTTCCTGTTGCCATGATTCAAGAGCCCCGTGTGGACTTGGAGGTGGCATATGCTCAAAGTGCCCTGCAATCCTGGGACATCACAGGGGGAGGAATGTCCCGAAACATTTCTCACGCTTTCAGTGCACTTTTCCTTTCTGAAAACCACTACTAAATGCAGGCTATTTCCTGTGACAGCATACCCTGTATTACCCTGACTTCAACAGCTATATTAGCTTTCCGAAAAAATGTAATATACAATTTTAGGCTTTATCTATCCTTTCTCTTCTCGCTTCTCTGGCCTACATTTCTGCTCTCTTGCATTGTTCTCTAATTTCCCTTATCTTCCCCTACATTCCCACCTTTTGCTTCAGCAATATATCTGTACAGCAACAGCAAAAGCAAGATAAAATAAATAAAACTGTAAAAGCAACAACGCAAAAAAGAATTTAAAAAGAAGTCCAGTTCAGGCAGACGATTGTATAAAAGCACATGACTTCCCTTATTTCACTTCTTTGTCTCAAGGTTTCCTAGAATTTCTGTCATGCTTAACCACTATCCTATATTACATAAAACTGTCACTTTCAAAGAAAGAATCTTATTCTCATCAAACTAAAGACATTATTGTTGGAAAAAATTAGTGAAATGAAAAATGTGAGAATCCTGCAGTTGGGTTCTCCATAGTCAACTCACAGCTCCAATGCCTACCAACATACTCAAATGCAGAATAACTTTCTAGTCATCCTAGGCAAAATACCTTCAGCTCTTAAATGGAGAAAGTAGCAACATAATTTAGATGTAATAATGTTCAGTAAAGATAAGTATATATCCATTACTATCCAATGGAAACACTGGCAGGCTAAAAATGGCATAACACCAGGAATTAGATTTCCAATCATTTTTTCAGATTTAATTTTATTTTTGCTGGAAAGGAAGATCAGATTTACAGAGAGAAGGAGAGACAGAGAAAAAGATCTTCCATCAATGGGTTCACTTCCTAAATATCCACAATGGCCAGAGCTGAGTCAATCTGGAGCCAAAAACCAGGGATTTCTTCCAGGTGTCCCACATGCGTGCAGGGTCCCAAAGCCTTGTGTCATCCTTTGCTGCTTTCCCAGACAATAAGCAGGTAGTTGATGGGAAGTGAAACAGCTGGCACACAAACTGGTGCCCATCTGCAGTCCTGGCACTTACAAGGTGAAGATTTAGCCATCTATTACACTGGGCCCCCAATTCATTTTGATGACTTACTTTTTCATTTTATTATAGTGTCAATCTTTTAAAAATATTATTAGATTTTATTTACTTGAAAGACTGAATGGAAAAGTATAGAGACAAAGAAAGGAAAAGAGAGAATGAGAGAGAGGTTTTCCATGTACTGGTTCCCCTCACCTCCATCACACAGTCAGGAGTTTCTTGCAGGTCTCTCATGTGGGTGGCAGGAACTCAAACACTTATTAAAAGTAATTTAGTAAAAGTATACATATTATATTGACATGTTCCTGTATTACCATTGACAGGTTCCTATATTACATGACAGAAAAATAATAGGCGCCAAAACACTATGCATAGCAAGGTTCGTTTTTTTTTTTCATAACTGTTACTATTTCTTAAGGTGCATGAGAGACCAGTTATTCTCACTGAGACTACTTGGTTTTTCTTTCACTGCTCACGGGGGTGTTCTACCCTAGCTGGACTGGTGTGCCTCAGGTTACTGGAGGCACTTCCAACAGCAGCAGCCACACGGAAGGACGGCGCCCGCGTTCTTCATCCACTTGGAGATTTTCATGGTGATTTCCATGAACATGTGATTTCTACCCAGTTCATTCACACGACTTTCTCCAACAGTTTTCCTTTTGATCCCAGGTCCTTGCATGGAAGATTATAAGAAGGTAAAGTGTGCCATTCTGTGAACCCATGTTCACCATGAACATGACTGTTACCAATTAAAGCTCTTGTGAGTTTGTAGGTGGATCCTGATGTCAAGTAGCTGCTAAACAACCTTCCCTGAATAAATGAACAAGAGATTTCCGAGACAGATGTTTAGAATAAAATGGATGGTAGAGAGAAATTTCATGTGTAAAGAAAAATTAACCTTGAACGTTTAATAAGAAATCTACAGAAATGATCAGTACTGTGATACTTACACTGATCTACAACCTCAGAAAATGAGGTAGTTGTCCATGATTTATTAAGAAGTGGTGTTGTGAGACTATGTACTATATACATACTCTGCCTAGATGAAATGAGGTATTTGATCATCCCAGTATTGTTTGGAGTAGATGGATCAACTTTTTGGCATTTTATTTTCACATTTGAAGTTTAAATCTCTAAAAGATACCCCTTTTGACTCTCTGGTTTAAAATCAAGACTTACGTAAAGTATGTTTTAAATGAATTCTTATATGGATATCATGATTTACTTTTTTAAAATGTTTAAATGCATTTTTTTATGATGCAGTTCCATAGGCTCAGGGATTTCCCCCTTTCCTCTCCCAAATTTTCATCCCTCTGTCTCATTACAATTGTACAATACTTCAAAAACAGTCATAGGTCCATCAGTCTACCACTTAAGTGCATCCTGACACACAACTGACTTTAACTGCCAAGTACACACATTCATTTCCTGTTTCATGAAATTGTTTACAGAATTCCCACTTTTCTGACGGAGGACTAGTATTTCACATTAATATCCACAGTGGAGAAAGAAAGCAGCTGTACTCGTCATGTGCATACTTCCTTGGAGATCATTACATGTTAAACTGCCTTTTAGATACTGGTTCTTCAAGCCAAATCACATCATTTCTTTTTCTCAGAGGTCTGATTTTCCAAGCATAAGCATCCTTGTGGAAGTCCACTGAATTGTCCAAGTTGTCCACATCCTTCTTTAGACGAAGTTCCAGAATGGCTCACTGGGGTCTAGTGGAAGTTTGGAGGGCTCAGTGATATTTTTTTTCTAAGCTAATTAAGTGCTGAATAAGCACTCTCACAGAAAAAATTAATACTATTTAATTTCAAATGAATTTTTATAAAGCAGTATTGAGCTCTTGGCTGCAATCAAATGTTGGTTCTCAAACTATCTACTGAGAGGTGATTCAATAACAGAGGTGAACTAGAAATTTGTCTAAAGAAGGATGAATATGACAACTTGATTACAAACATATCAAGGAAAAGTCTGAATGACAGAAAGTAAAGAGAGTTCTAAAAAATAATTATCAATCTTTCTCTAATATTAGCTTCACACTACAT